GGCCCCTCACCCTTCTTTTTGATCTTCACATTCTTGTCCACCAAAATGAACTCTCCGGTGGCCTTTGACACCAGGAAGGAAAAGCAGAGAGGTGACAAGCCATCTCCCCAGACCTGCACGGGGCCTGGGCTGGGGGGGCGCCAAGCCTGTGGTCACATCTCACCCTGGGGCACTATGATTCCTGCCAAACTCTCCAAGAATTGTGAATGGGGTGAGGGAAGCGAAAGTGGCAAAAACAAGCAAAAAGGAAATGGGCGGGAGGTGGGGGGCAGAGGCTGCTGCAGACGTTGTTGGGGTTCGAGGGGACTTCTGACTTTGTTTGCAAATGATTTCAGCAAAACTAGAAAGAAACCATACAGAAACGTAAGGGCAGAACTATGTAAACAACGGCAAAACCTGAGAGAGGATTGTGTGTCCAGAGTAACATAAGATGTGCGTCTCTTACGAAACACAAAGAGAACAAGCTGGTGCATGGACACAGGCAGCTGCCGCCTGCCACCCCCGGGTCACACCAGAGGGCGCAGTTCCCGGCTCCACATTTCTGCAAATCTTCCCTTTTGTGTGTTGCTACAGGACAAAGCAGAACCCGGCGTTCTGAGTCCCAGCACATACGACTTCAGACGCCTTCGCTCACTGAGACGCAAACTTTTTCTCAGAACATCTCCTCCCACTCGGCCCCAGTGCTGAGCTCGTGCCTGTAGCTCTAGATTCTTCAAAGGAGATTTAAATTCAGGTACTAAGTGTCCCATAACGTCTATTGCTGCTCCTATGTGTGGCCGATAAGAGGGCGATTGAGGCTCTGCCCATTTGGGAGGGGGCCTGCTCCAATGAGGCAAGAGTTGACAAGAAGGCAGGGCCCGTCCACGCATCTTCCCCAGCCACCTACGCCCGCAGCAAAGGCCGGCTCCTGCTGCCCTGCGGCATGTGGAGTGTGCTGAAACCAGGAGGAAGGGAGGGACCAGAATTAACAGTGGCCATCGAAAGTATCATTGTGAGTGATTTTTCTTTTCTATGCTTTCTTTTTTTTTTTGTATTTTCAAAAATTTTGACCACAAATATATAGGAATATTCTTTTATAATCAGTAAAACTAAGTAAGTACGTGTCTTTACAAAATCTGTCTAGCAAAGGAAGCCATCTCACACAGGACTACACGCAGAGCTCAGGAAGCCAGGCTTCCCAGGTGCCCCATGCTGGTACCCGCCAGAGCAGAGGTGCGCAAAACTAGAAAGAAACCATACAGAAACGTAAGGGCAGAACTATGTAAACAACGGCAAAACCTGAGAGAGGATTGTGTGTCCAGAGTAACATAAGATGTGCGTCTCTTACGAAACACAAAGAGAACAAGCTGGTGCATGGACACAGGCAGCTGCCGCCTGCCACCCCCGGGTCACACCAGAGGGCGCAGTTCCCGGCTCCACATTTCTGCAAATCTTCCCTTTTGTGTGTTGCTACAGGACAAAGCAGAACCCGGCGTTCTGAGTCCCAGCACATACGACTTCAGACGCCTTCGCTCACTGAGACGCAAACTTTTTCTCAGAACATCTCCTCCCACTCGGCCCCAGTGCTGAGCTCGTGCCTGTAGCTCTAGATTCTTCAAAGGAGATTTAAATTCAGGTACTAAGTGTCCCATAACGTCTATTGCTCTGGACTAAGGACTAGTATAGGCTCCTATGTGTGGCCGATAAGAGGGCGATTGAGGCTCTGCCCATTTGGGAGGGGGCCTGCTCCAATGAGGCAAGAGTTGACAAGAAGGCAGGGCCCGTCCACGCATCTTCCCCAGCCACCTATGCCCGCAGCAAAGGCCGGCTCCTGCTGCCCTGCAGCATGTGGAGTGTGCTGAAACCAGGAGGAAGGGAGGGACCAGAATTAACAGTGGCCATCGAAAGTATCATTGTGAGTGATTTTTCTTTTCTATGCTTTCTTTTTTTTTTTGTATTTTCAAAAATTTTGACCACAAATATATAGGAATATTCTTTTATAATCAGTAAAACTAAGTAAGTACGTGTCTTTACAAAATCTGTCTAGCAAAGGAAGCCATCTCACACAGGACTACACGCAGAGCTCAGGAAGCCAGGCTTCCCAGGTGCCCCATGCTGGTACCCGCCAGAGCAGAGGTGCGGAGCAGGGCATCCCCAGTGTACAGTGACAAGAGACATAAGAGCTTGTTGAAAGCTGCAGCCTGCTAGAAACGCAAGGACAGCTGCTGCAGTGGTCCCAGCAGCAACATCAGCCTGCCCTCGCTGCAGCCACACCAAAGAGGAAGCACTCAGCACCTCCCTGGCAGGAGCCCCCCGAACGACAGCCCACGGCAGGGTCCTGGCTGCCGAGCAGCACAGCAGCCCCATGCTCTTGCACACATTCAGGCCTGCGGAGGGCAAAGGACTGTCAGGTACATGGACACTTACTCCCTGAGACGCCTGTCCACAATCTGGAGACGAGAAGAGGTTTAGTACCTTCTACACATCCATCAACTCAAAGGTCTTGTGAGGCAGTACGTCCGCAAACATCAGTGGTTTTGGAAACCGTGCCCTGGGCTGGACTGGGCTTGGCTCTGGTTCTGGCACCATCTCCCAAGCCTACCTTGTCTGGAGCCTTGGTGGCTGCCATCACCCTGCACTTGCTCATGTGTTATGCACCACACTGCCAAGGAGGCGAAAGCCCAGTTCTGTGAGAGTGACAAACGTCCTGCCACACACAGGCCCGCGGGCCTCACCAGGAGCAACCTGTGTCCCACGGAGGACTGCAGGCACTGTTTGTACCTTGTGTTCAGACTGTCAGCAAAAGGCACTGTTTTCGTAAAGCGTTCCATTAATGTCGGCTGAGGACATTTCTATAATTAAGAGGAATTTATAAATCCAATTCTTTTCGCTTTGGGACCCTGGAGCAAACACACAANAGACCCTCATGGACGCAGGTCTGGAGGGACAGACACCCAGGCGGGAGAACCACAGTTGCACCACCTGGGACCTTGGACCCCAGGAGGGGAAACATCTCATTGCCATGCTCTCATTCATCTGGTTAACTCCAGTTCTGACATCTCAGGGCAGGAACTCCAGTCCCCAGTCCCCAGGTAAGCAATCAGTCATGGGCTCTGCACACGTCAAAGTCCAGTCCACTTCCGTCCCTGCTTCCATCCACCTCCAGGGTGAATTGTGAATCCACAGGTCGTCACATAACTCACAAGTCCCAAGCGAGGTCTGGGCCCTTCTCCATTCCCAGGTCCCTTTTCCTCTTGGGGACACCAGCCCCCTGGAGCTGCCCTGGTGCCTGACACCCGGACTCTGCAGCAGCCCCGGCCTGGCCCTCACTTACCGGGGGGAACTTCTTCCTCTGGACGTACTCAGCGATGGCTGGGTCGAAGTCCCTGGCATAGCCCTCGTTGAGGCTGTAGATGTCACCCTTCTTTTTGATCTTCACATTCTTGTCCACCAAAATGAACTCTCCGATGGCCTTTGACACCAGGAAGGAAAAGCAGAGAGGTGACAAGCCATCTCCCCAGACCTGCACGGGGCCTGGGCTGGGGGGCACCCAGCCTGTGGTCACATCTCACCCTGGGGCACTATGATTCCTGCCAAACTCTCCAAGAATTGTGAACGGGGTGAGGGAAGCGAAAGCGGCAAAAACAAGCAAAAAGGAAATGGGTGGGGGATGGGGGGCAGAGGCTGCTGCAGACGTTGTCGGGGATCGAGGGGACTTCTGACTTTGTTTGCAAATGATTTCAGCAAAACTAGAAAGAAACCATACAGAAACGTAAGGGCAGAACTATGTAAACAACGGCAAAACCTGAGAGAGGATTGTGTGTCCAGAGTAACATAAGATGTGCGTCTCTTACGAAACACAAAGAGAACAAGCTGGTGCATGGACACAGGCAGCTGCCGCCTGCCACCCCCGGGTCACACCAGAGGGTGCAGTTCCCGGCTCCACATTTCTGCAAATCTTCCCTTTTGTGTGTTGCTACAGGACAAAGCAGAACCCAGCGTTCTGAGTCCCAGCACATACGACTTCAGACGCCTTCGCTCACTGAGACGCAAACTTTTTCTCAGAACATCTCCTCCCACTCGGCCCCAGTGCTGAGCTCGTGCCTGTAGCTCTAGATTCTTCAAAGGAGATTTAAATTCAGGTACTAAGTGTCCCATAACGTCTATTGCTGCTCCTATGTGTGGCCGATAAGAGGGCGATTGAGGCTCTGCCCATTTGGGAGGGGGCCTGCTCCAATGAGGCAAGAGTTGACAAGAAGGCAGGGCCCGTCCACGCATCTTCCCCAGCCACCTACGCCCGCAGCAAAGGCCGGCTCCTGCTGCCCTGCGGCATGTGGAGTGTGCTGAAACCAGGAGGAAGGGAGGGACCAGAATTAACAGTGGCCATCGAAAGTATCATTGTGAGTGATTTTTCTTTTCTATGCTTTCTTTTTGTATTTTCAAAAATTTTGACCACAAATACAAATGGTCAACAAAACTAAGTAAGTAAGTACATGTCTTTACAAAATCTGTCTAGCAAAGGAAGCCATCTCACACAGGACTACACGCAGAGCTCAGGAAGCCAGGCTTCCCAGGTGCCCCATGCTGGTACCCGCCAGAGCAGAGGTGCGGAGCAGGTATCTAGAGCGGGGCATCTCCGGTGTACAGAGACAGGAGACATAAGAGCTTGTTGAAAGCTGCAGCCTGCTAAAAATGCAAGGACAGCTGCTTCAGTGGTTCCAGCAGCAACATCAGCCTGCCCTCGCTGCAGCCACACCGAAGAGGAAGCACTCAGCACCTCCCTGGCAGGAGCCCCCCAAACGACAGCCCACGGCAGGGTCCTGGCTGCCGAGCAGCACAGCAGCCCCACGCTCTTGCACACATTCAGGCCTGCGGAGGGCAAAGGACTGTCAGGTACATGGACACTTACTCCCTGTGACGCCTGTCCACAATCTGGAGACGAGAAGAGGTTTAGTACCTTCTACACATCCATCAACTCAAAGGTCTTGTGAGGCGGTACGTCTGCAAACATCAGTGGTTTTGGAAACCATGCCCTGGGCTGGACTGGGCTTGGCTCTGGTTCTGGCACCATCTCCCAAGCCTACCTTGTCTGGAGCCTTGGTGGCTGCCATCACCCTGCACTTGCTCATGTGTTATGCACCACACTGCCAAGGAGGCGAAAGCCCAGTTCTGTGAGAGTGACAAACGTCCTGCCACACAGGCCCGCAGGCCTCACCAGGAGCAACCCGTGTCCCACGGAGGACTGCGGGCACTGTTTGTACCTTGTGTTCAGACTGTCAGCAAAAGGCACTAGTTTCATAAAGCGTTCCACTAATGTCGGCTGAGGACATTTCTATAATTAAGAGGAATTTATAAATCCAATTCTTTTCTCTTTGGGACCCTGGAGCAAACACACAATGAACGTGCTGACCTACTGAAGATTATTCTTTGAGTCTGTTTCAATGGTGGGTTTAGTTGCACCAAATATTTAAAGAGATTTCTTCAATTTACTTGCTCTGTTCAAACTGTCATCTGAGTAAGTAAATTACTCAGATTAATGGACAAGTGGAAGAAGTGATCCGCAAGTTGAAACAGTTAATGAACATTTTTCATGGCACTGTGGGCTCCTCTCTAACTTTTCTCCCTAAGGTAGACTAAGGAATTATCTTCGTCCGTTCTTTACTTTCATTTCTCTGAGTTCATCAAAGACTTATCAAACCTGCAGTAGTTAACTGTAGGTCTGAGTGCACACACTCAACACCAGCTCAATCTGGGGGCATTTTTGAAGCAATGACACCATCCACTGCTGAGCTGGGACAGCCCCTCACTCAGGAAAGCAGCCTCCTGCTGCAGAAGGCAGGGGCTGCCGGGGACAGAGTGCGTGCAACAGACCAGCCATGGCCTGGCCAGCCGGCCAGTGAGCTCGAGTTGGCTAGCAGTGTTTCACACATCAAGAAACATGACATTTTTTAAAATCCAGCATTTCTTGAAACATCAAAAGCCTTGGTGAGACTGGGTCTCTCTCCCCAAACAGTGACAATTGCTGGACGTCTCTGTGTTGCCCAGGGCCACCCCATGCCCCTGGCCTTCTGTCCCAGCACACTTCACTAATTTATGGCTGCTCAAAAGACTCCCTTTTGCAACAAAGACTCCCTCTTCTGCTCTGGTTAGATGTCATCTCTCACTTCCGTAATCTCCTTCTGACATAGGCACTGTCCCACCCGCCCAACCCCCCACCATCTCAGTCCCTCCCTGGGCCTTGGCTTCCACATCTGTGTGACCCTGGCCACCTCGCATGAAATCCCAGCCTCCTATGAGAGCTCTCACCGGGTCCAGCATAAAGCAGTTGACCCCACTGTCCATGGCGAGGACCAACATGGTGGCGCTGCCATAGAGCGCATAGCCGGCCGCCACCAGGTTCCGGCCTGGCTGCAGAGCATCCTTCTCAGAAGGTTCACCAGCTGATTGCTAGAGCAAGAAAGAAAACAAAACATGTTTTCGTTGTGTTGTTTTGTGCTGCTTTTTTCCAGGTCAACCAATAATGGGATGCATAATCAAGGTGCTCTTCTAATGAGATAGGGCACCTTCCCAGAGGGGCCTTCCTCCACGCGGCAGTCATGCCCTGAGGATATTACCACAGCAGCCTTCCCGCCAGACCCCAGATTTCCTGCATCTGGATCCTTCCTTCCAATCAACGTTCTCCTCCAATTTTTCTAATTCAATATTCCCTCATCTCTCCACTAATACTTCCAAAAACAAGCATGCTTTCTCGCCAGCTCTCACTAATGTAATCTCGTTATGGGCATCAGTGTCTTTCACCTGCCTACTTCATTTTTATTTAAACAGATTAACACTGGGCTGCAGGGCAGCAGACTGGTGAGGAAATGAATTTTGTGAGCTCTTGCCAATTGCCGCACATGCCCCACTGAGCAGTGTGGTCCACATCACTCACACATCAAAGAAATTCTCAGAAATACAGGAACTTAGAATATCTCCCCCGAGTCATTACAGAGTAGGGCAGATGTTACTGGATTGTTTGACTCTGACTCTCAGTAAGAAACAAATTTTACATCACAAACCAGTACCAATCCACATGCACACACACCAACGATTTCACAGAAC